ATAATATTGTTAATAGATGTAAAAGTAAAAATAATAGTCAATAGTGGAATACAAAGGGATATCGTGAGATGAGTGAATAAGTAAATAGATTGATTACTTGTAATGTGCTTCGGGAACTTATGCATGCTTCCTGTCAGTCATGGCACCCTGGCGCCTGCTACAACATTTGGTAGTCGACAGGCGTGCCTCCTACCTAACTTTGCTAAAAGGCCAGTTGTAGCGTGGTCTCAGGGAGAAACGTTCACTTCAAGTACTGGATTAATTCAAAAGATGGTTTTTATTTGAATTAAATTTTTTTGTTTTCGCCAGAAAATCTAGTAATTTAAAGAAAATGATCTGAAAATTTTTATTATTCATCTTTTCATCTATTTAACTAGTTGGTGGTACTAGAGAGCACGAAATGATTGCGAACTTGTTGCTTAAATGGCTCAGATTCTATCATTCGAGTCCGAGCTCTTGAAGATTATCTCTTTTCTTTTTGAAAAATTTCGCACTTTTTATTCTTTTTTTAAATTTTTTATTTAATTTTTTATTTTTTATTCACTATTCTTGAAGCGAACAATTTATTCGAAATTCTGAAGGCGATACTCTATTGTGTATCTGGCATATTCACTGACTTTAAATCTAGCTTCTCGTCCCAAAGAAATTCTAAAAAATTTTTGAACATCTGTTAGATTATCACAATAGATTATCAACTTCAAAATTTTTGAAAATTCTGGGAAAAATCCTTGCAGTTTTGGAGGGACTAGAGAAGTACTTGAATCTTGAAAACCCGTTAAAAAAATTTTGAAATGATCTGTGTGGGAGGCAGACAGGTGGACAGGCGTTATTGATCTTCTTCCATTCACAATCATCCCGTACATATCTAGTGGTTTGTACTTTTTTTACTTTTCGAGAGTAAAACTTTTCAAATCGATTTTTCTAGCCCTTATGTGGATCATATGTACAACTATTCCTCTACGGAAGGCAGAGCATTTTTACAACTTCCATCGTCTGCAATTCTCGAATTTTATCGGAGTTGATTGACGTAATCGGTTACAGGAACAGAAAAAAGCGCTTTTCGAGAAATATCAGTTCAACGGACTGTTAAGTGATCGAATCGGTTATCGTCGAAAAATTCCCGACTCAAGAAATTCACAGTGAGTGGTTTGATGTAAATGGGATTTCTTTTTACTTAGCAGTTTTTCTGGAATTTTCTTTTTTATCGATTTTTTGTACATGGTTATGATCTACTTTTTTCTTATATGTTTGTCCATGCTTTGTTTTCTTAGTTGCCCTACTGCCAGTACTAGCTACTTACTATTTCTACTTTTTTATTTTTTTTGAAATTTCTGGACTTTATCGGAAATTGCGCTTCTTGAAGGCTGAGATTCGGTATTTCTCATGATTATTTTTCTTTTTGCCCTTTTGACCAGTTCATCGCTTTCCCCGACTCCTCTTCCCTTCCTGGTCGCGGTCTTTGCCTTCATCTGACTTCCTCTTTTGTTGACCATCTCTCTTGTCCATTGTTTGCTGATCGGCTGCTCACCATGTGGGCGAGTCGACAAGTGATCGGCGACATTTTCGCACGAATTCGGGTCACTTAAGGGAATTTTCCATAGAAAATAATGGTTTTACGTAAAACCTGTAGTGTAACCTCTTTCGGATCTGGGCTAGCGCTTTTTGGTGAGGAAACTGGGCCAATGCTATCAGCTGTAGCCTGCAATCTGGAGCCAACTGAAAAAAAACAGGTGTTTGAAAAAAGGCAAACATGCCAGTATTAATAATTACCGGTTGTGAAGCTGGTCTCTCCTAGTCTTTATTGGACTTGCTGAAGTAGTAATAACTTTTTTGGTGGCCTGCAGTAATGGGAAGTAGAAGTGGGAGACGTGAAAAAAGAAGATGAGGGAGTAATAGCCTGCTACTACTCTTTTATTGCGACTTTTTATAGGAATCATTTTTATTGGAATGACTCGTTCAGGCTATTTATAATTGCTCCATT